TCTCTCCAAAGATGCTGCCACAGCTTTTCCATCAATTTCTGTTTTCCAGCATCTGCAGTTCATTCAGTTTTCATTTAGAAGCTCTGGTCAAGGCAAAGAAGGAGGCACATGACAGTTGGAATCAAGCGAATCCCTTGAGGATTTTAGGGGGTATAGGAGTACATTTAAGAGGGAAATCAGGAGGGCAAAAAGGGGACATGAGATAGCTTTGGCAGGTAAGGTAAAGCAGAATCTAAAGAGATTCTAGAAGTATATTAAAGGCAAAAGAGTAGCTTTTGGAGAGAATGGGGCCCCTCAAAGATCGATGAGACATCTATGTGTGGAACCACAAGAGATAGGTGAGATCCTAAATGAATATTTCTCATCAGTACTTACTTTGGAGAAAGACATGGAAGCCAGGGAACACGGGGAAACAGATACTGATGTCTTGAAAAGAGTCCACATTCCAGAAGAGGAGGTGCTGTCTTAAGTCTTAAAATGCATAAACATAGATAAATCCCCAGCCCCTGACCAAGGGCATTATTGGAATCTAAGGAAGAAATTGCGCCTGGCAGAGATATTTGTGCCATCGACAGCCACAGGTGAGGTGCCGGATGACTGGAGGCTGGTTAATGTTGTGCCATTATTTAAGAAAGGCCGCATGGAAAAGCCAATAATTACAGACTGGCGAGCCTGACGTCAGTGGTGGATAGGTGGTTGGAGGGGATTTGCATGGAATTGAAAAGGCATGGACTGATTAGGGGTACTGAGCATGGCCTTGTGTGTGGGAAATCATGTCTCTCCAATTTGATTGAGTTTTTTAAAGAGGTGACCAAGAAGCTAGGTGAAGGCAGAGCGGTAGATGTTGTCTACATGGCATTAGCAGGGCCATTGACAAGGTTCCGCATGGTAGACTGGTTAGCAAGGTTAGATTTTACATGGGATCCCAGGAGAGCTAGCCAATTGGATACAAAGTTGGCTTGATGGTAGGAGACAGAGGGTGGTGGTTGAGAGTTGTTGTTCAGACTGGAGGCCTGTGACCAGCAATGTTTCACAATATCTGGTGCTGGGTCCACTTTTGTTCGTCATTTATATAAATGATTTGGATGAGAATATAGGTTAGTACGTTGGTGGATGACATCAAAATCGGTGGTACAGTGGACAGTGAAGAAGGTTATCTAAGAGTACAACAGGATCTTGATCAACTGGGCCAGTGGGCAGAGGAGCGGCAAATGGAGTTTAATTTAGATAAATGGTAGGTGTTGCATTTTGGGAAGGCAAATCAGGGCAGGACTTATACACTCAATGGTAGGGTCCTGGAGAGTGTTGCTGAACGAAGACCTTGGGGTAGAGGCTCATAATTCATCGGAAGTGGAGTCTCAGGTAGACAGGGTAGTGAAGACGGCGTTTATTGGTCAGTGTATTGAGTATAGGACCTGGGATGTCACATTGCAGTTGTACAGGACATTGGTAAGGCCACATTTGGAATACTGCATACAATTCTGCTCAGCTTGCTAGAGGAAGGATGTCATTAAACAGGACAGGGTGCAAAAAAAGGATTGACAAAGATGTTACCGAGACTGGAGGGTTTGAGTTCTAAAAAGACACTGGATATGCTGGGACTTTATCCTGTGGAGTGTAGGAGGCCAAGGAGTTAGGGGCATAGATAAGGTGAATAGCAAAGGTCTTCCAGCAGGATAGTCCAAAATTAGGGGGCAAACGTTTGAGATGGGAGGGGAAAGATGTCAAAGGGACCAGAGGGGCAACATTTTCACACAGAGGGTGGTGAGTGTAAGGAAGGAGCTGCCGTAAGAATTGGTTGAGATGAGTACAACTACAACATTCAAAAGTCATTTGGACGGGTACATGGACTGGAAAGGTTTAAAGGGATAGGGGCCAAACGCAGGCAAATGGGACAAGTTTAGTTTGGGAAACCTGGTTAGCATGGATGAGTTGGGCCGAAGGGTCTGTTTCCATGCTGTATGAGTGTGTGAGGTGCTGCTTGATACACTGTTGATGACTTGCTCTATCACTTTACTGGTGATCGAGAGTAGACTGGGGGCGGTAACAGGCTGGGTTGGATTTGTCCTGCTTTTTGTGTACAGAACATACTTGGGCAATTTTCCACATTGTCAAGTAGATACCTGTGTTGTAACTGTACCAGAGTAGCTTAGCCGGGGGTGTGGCAAGTTCTGGAACATAAGTCTTCAGTACTATTGTCGGAATGTTGTCAGGGCCTGTAGCCTTTGCAGCATCCAGTGTCTCCAACCGTTTCTTGATATCATGTGGAGTGAATCGAATTGGCTGAAGATTGGTATCTGTGATGCTGGGGACCACTGGAGGAGGCCGAGATGGATCATCCACTCAGCACGTCTGTCTGAAGATTGCTGCGAATGCTTCAGCGTTATCTTTTGCACTGATGTGCTGGGCTCTTCCATCATTGAGGATGGGGATATTTGTGGAACCTCCTCCTCCAGTGAGTTGTTTAATTGTCCACCACCATTCACGACTGGATGTGGCAGGACTGCAGAGCTTAGGCCTGATCCATTGGTTGTGGGATCGCTTAGCTCTGTCTATCACTTGCTGCTTTCGCTGTTTGGCATGCAAGTAGCCCTGTTTGGTGGCTTCACCAAGTTGACTCCTCATCTTCAGGTATGCCTGGTGCTGCTCCTGGCATGCCCTCCTGCACTCTATTAAACTGGGGTTGTTCCCCTGTCTTGATGGTAAATGGTTGAGTGGGGGATATGCCGGGCCATGAGGTTACAGGTTGTGCTGGAGTACAATTCTGCTGCTGTTGATGGCCCACAGCGCCTCATGGATGCCCAGTCTTGAGTTACTAGATCTGTGCGAAGTCTGCCCCATTTAGCACAGTGATAGTGATACATGACATGATGGAGGACTGTGCAATGGTCACTCTTACCAATACTGTCATGGACAGATGTAACTACAGCTGGCAGATTGGTGAGGATGAGGTCAAATATGTTTTTCCCTCTTGTTGATTCCCTCACCACCTGCCGCAGACCCAGTCTAGCAGCTATGTCCTTTAGGACCCAACCAACTCGATCAGTCGTACTGCTGCCGAGCCACTCTTGGTGGACATTGAAATCCCCCACCCAGAGTACATTTTGTGCCCTTGCCATCCTCAGTGCTTACTCTAAGTGTTGTTCAACATGGAGGAGTACTGATTCATCAGCTGAAGGAGGACAGTTATGTGGTAATCAGCAGGAGGTTTCCTTGCCCATGCGTAACCTTAAGCCATGAGACTTCATGGGGGCCAGAGTCAATGTTGAGCACAACCAGGGTAGTGCATTCCCAACCAAATGCCACTTTGCTGCCACCTCTGCTGGGTCTGCCAATGGGACAGGACATATCCAGGGATGGTGATGGTAGTGTCTGGGACATTGTCTGTAAGGTATGATTCTGTGAGTATGACTATGTCAGGCTATTGCTTGACTAGTCTGTGAGACAGCTGTCCCAATTTTGGCACTAACCCCCAGATGTTAGTGAGGAGGGCCCTCCAGGGTCGACAGGGCTGTTTCTGCCGTCGTCTTTTCTGGTGCCTGGGTGATGCCAGCTGATCTTTTCTTTGAGACTTTGTAGTAATTGGTACAACTGAGTGGCTTGTTAGGCCATTTCAGAGGGCAATCAAGAGTCAAACACATTGCTGTGGGTCTGGAGTCACATGTAGGCCAGACCAGGTGACGGTGGCAGTTTTCTTCCCTGAAGGACATTAGTGAGCCAGATGGGATTTTTCCCTATGAAATCATCAGGGGGTTCTTAATTTCAGATACTTTTATCGAATTCAGTTTCCACCATCTGCCACGGTTGGATTCAAACCAGGATCCCTGAAACATTAGCTGGGTTTGTAGAGTAATAATCTAGTGATAATACCACAAGGCTATCGCCTCCCTGAGGTGAGGCAGCCACTGTGCAGAAAGGAAATGGTGACTGACAACATGGACTCCATATAGGTGCACCCTCTCCTCTGCTCATCCATCATTGAGACAGGTCCTGGAGTCAGCTCTGTGCCACTCTCACTCCCCCCACCACACCAGCCCCACTGTTGTACTCATTTATACATTCACACATCCTTGTAGCCTCATCCCTGTCTTTCACTTCCCGCACTCTGGCATCACAGCCTGCTTTTACTCCATCATCGTTTTTGCCATTTCCCATTCAGTTTTAAGATGTGTTGACACATCTGATGTTGCATGGTCCCATAAGGATCCCTGGTGAGAGAAAGAAAGCTCCTAGGGCTAAAAACACCAATAAGAACATATGGGGCTGAATGGCCTCTTATAGTACATCTTGTCATTGATTTTCTCGGCTTGGATCCCTGTTGCTCCCTGCCTCGTAACCTTGGTAACGTCTCCATATGCTGACACAGGGTCCTACAGACTTGCATTATTGATCTAACATTGTACAGGGCTTCGGTGAGACTACACCCGGAGTACTCTGTGCAGTTTTGGTCTCCTTATCTGAGGAAGGATGCTCTGGCTATGGAGGGAGTACAGTGAGGTGTACCAGACGGATTCCTGGGTTGGAAGGACTGATACATGGAGAGAGATTGGATCGGTTAAGACTGTATTCACTGGAATGTAGAATGATCTCGTAGGAACCGATGAAATTCTAACAGGACTGGACAGGACAAACACAGGAAGGATGTTCCTGATGACTGGGGAGTCCAGAACCAGGGGGTCACAGTCTAAGGACACAGTGTTGGCCATTTAGGATTGAGATGAGAAATTTCTTCACCCAGAGAGCGGTGAGCCTATGGGATTCTCCCGCCACAGAAAACCATCGAAGCCCAGACATTGAATGTTTTCAGGAAGGAATTAGGTATAGTTCTTAGGGTTAAAGGTATCAAAGTGGGAACAGGCTATTGAGTAGGATGATCAGCCTTGATCGCAATGAATGGCAGTGCAGACTCGAAGGGCTGAATGGCCCACATTTATTCCTATGTTTCGAAGTTTTGATGTTTCTGTGAGCTGATTGTTCTCCAATCTGCCCCCTGTTTGCAGGCACCCACTCTCTGGAGAGCTGATGGATAGGTTACGAATCATCAAACACAGACTGTCGATAACTCTGCGCAGCAGGCAGCCTCTCGATGACTCCCTCTCCCAACTTGCTGAGCAGATGAGTTTGGAAGAGAATAACTCAAAGGACAATGGTGAGCAGTCAATCTCTCCCTGTGACCCAGAGTGGAAACTTGGCCCTCCTTGTTATGGCCTTTTCTGATGACGCTCAGCTTTTATCAATAACAGTTTAAAGGCTTACAGAAAGTGATGCTGAGGGCTAGATGAGATTTTCAAGAAGGGTGGTGAAAATAAACCCGGGAATTACAGACCCAGGAATTACATCTGTGTTGGGGAAACTGTTGGAGAAAATTCTGAGGGAGATCATTAATCTCCATTTAGAGAGGCAAGGTTTGGTCAGGGACAGTCAGTGTGGCTTTGTCAGCGGGAGGTCGTGTAGAACAAATCTGGTGGAATTTTTCAAGGAGGTGACCAAGATGAAAGTAGAGCAGTTAATATAATTTATATGGATTTCAGCAAGGCTTTTGACGAGCTCCCAGTGAGGAACTGATAAAGAAGGTAAAGGTACAGGATCCAGGGTAACCTGGCAAGCTGGATCCAAACTGGGTTGGTGACAGGACACAGAAAGTGGTGAGACAAGTCTGTTTGTGTGACTCAAGACCAGTGTGCAATCGTGTACCATATTGGTTCTGGTGTTCTAAATGGTGGAGATCAGAATATTGGGGGTACGATAAGTAAGCTTCTGGATGACACAGTGATTGGCTTGGATGATTGACAATGAAGAGAGAGGTTATAGGTTACAGTAGGTTATAAACAGATTGGTCTGGTGGGTAGATCAATGGAATTTAACCCTGATAAATGTGAGGTAATGCATTTGAGTGCAGTTCTGGTTACCGTATAGGAAGGATGTGATTGCAATTGAGGAGGTGCAGAGGACATTCACCAGGATGTTGCCTGGGATGAAGCATTTCAGTTATGAAGAGATACTGGATAAGCTGAGTTTGTTTGCTTTGGTGCAGAAAAGACTGAAGGGGGGACCTGATAGATGTGTATAAGATGATGAGGGCCATGGACTGGGTGAGTAGAATAGTTCCCCTTAGTTGAAGGGTCAATGATAAGAGGGCATAACTTTAAATTGACAGGCAGGAGGTTTAGAGGGGATTTGAGGAAAAAGCATTTTGTCCAGAGGGTTGGGGGGGGTGCATGGTCTGGAATGCCCTGCCTGGCAGGGTAGTTGAGGCAGGAAACATCACAACCTTTAAAAAGTACTGGGATGAGCTCTTGAAGTGTCTTAACATTCAAGGCTATGGGTCTAGTTTGGGAAAGTGGGACTAGGAGAGATTTAGGGATGTTAGTCAATGCAGACTCGATGGACTGAAGGGCTCCTTTCGTAGTGTATGATTCTGTCCACATTATACTGCATCTGCCATACATTTGCCGGATGTAGCGATTGGAACAAGGGGAGGTGCATCTTACCAACTGTGTCACTCTTGGCTGGGGTTGTTAACGTGGGCCAATCAGGGAATCCTGGTATCGCAAACAATGCTTGCTGCTTTTCACTGGCCATCCCTGAATTCGCTGAATGAACTCTATGCGCGTCCACCCACTTTGAATAGGTATCCACGATCACCAAGAACATTGAGTCCATGAAAGGACCCGCATAGTCAATGTGTAACTGAGTCCAAGATTTACCTCATCCTTCCCACGGGTGGAGTTCAGTCAGAATGTGGTGCTGATCTTTACTTGGGACAATCCCTCTTGCTCCCCATAGTAATATGCCATTCTCTATGGTGATTTGGTCTCACTGGGTTTCAATTCTGGTTGTGATGGCCCTTTTGTTACCCTCATCACCACCAGCTCTTTTAGTTTTGCCAGGCCGGGATCTTTTTGTGTCCCCACTCTGATATTGTCAGCGGTGATCAGAAGAGTGTCCAAAAGTGACCGTCACACCAGAGGGTCTTATAAATCCGGAAGGAAGCAGAACACCAACGCTTCGTTTAGTGGTCGCACAGAAGAGGTTACCTAGAAGGGTAACAAAACATCTGCACACCACAGACATCCGGCTCGGCGAGCTAATGAACAACTGCATCCAAAACCCGAGCTACAAATTTTTGCTAAGTCCTTAAAGTGACCCACTTATTTCTACTCTTTGTTTCCTGTCTGCTAACCAGTTCTCTTTCCACGTCAGTACATAATCCCCAATCCCATATCCTTTAATTTTACCCTTATGTGGGACCTTATTGAAAGTCTTCTGAGAGTCCAAATAAACCACATCCATTGGCTCACCCTGATCAACTCCACAAGTTACATCCTCAAAGAATTCCAGTGGATTGGTCATGCGTGATTTCCCTTTTGTAAATCCATACTGACTGTGCCTGATCCCACCACTGCTTTCTAAGTGTTCTGCTATTAAATCTTTGATAATGGCCTTTAGCATTTTCCCCACTACTGACATTAAGCTAACTGGTTTATAATTCCCAGATTTCTCTCTTCTTGCCATTGTTTTTTAAATAGAGAGGTCACATTAGCTACCTGTTCTGGAGGCTGTAGAATCTTGGAAGATGATCACCTACATTTTGAGTCTAAGTCATTGATTTATACCATGAACAGCAAGGCCCGCAATACTGAGCCCAGTGACATCATTGGGAACAGCCTTCCTATTGCAAAAACACCCATCAAATCATGGGCCTTCATTTCCTGTCACCGAACCAGTTTTAGATCCAACTTGCCACTTTCTGTTGGATCCCACAAGTTCTCATTTTCTGAGCAGCTTGCTATAGAAACCTGTCAAAGACCCTGCTATAGACCATAGAAACTACACATTGCTCCCCCTTCAGAAAGTTACATCAAGTCCCTTAAATCCATGCTGACTGTTATAATTCATTTTTAAGTTAAGATTAATCCCTTTTTCGGAGTGTTTCCCGATCATTTTCCCACTATTGAGGGTACAAATGGAATTGTCTTTCCTCAGGCCCCGCAGTCCCTCAGCAGCAGGCCATAGCAGACAGAATTGGAAAATTTTAGTCATTACCTCTGCTGTTCTGTCCTGTGTTCCTCTTCGCAGCCTGGGATACATTTCATCTGGGTCAGGTGGCTTTTTCAAATCTCAAAAGTACTAAACCTCCTCACATTTCCTCTCCAGCTGTGTTTATATCAATAATTTCACAATTCTCCTCCCGAAGCACGATACCTGCACTGTGTCTCCTTCTCTTCATTCAGTTATGGGGTCTGGGCATCACTAATTGATCCAGCATTTATTGCCCTTGAGAAGGTGGTAAATGAGCTGCCTTCTTGAACCGCTGTAGTCCATGTGCTGTAGGGAGGGAATTCCAGTTTTTGACCCAGCGACAGTGAAGGAATGGCATATATTTCCCAGTCTGTCTGCTTTTGTGTGACTCCAAACCCACACCATCACCAGGCAAAACATGCAGGGAAACTATTGGACATAAAGGCTGACAAGTCCCCAGAGCTGGATACCCATATTGTAGTGGTTTAGAAATGATGGCACAGCTAGTGGATGCATTGGTTATAATTGCCCAAAATTCCTTAGATTCCTGAAGGCATCTGAAGGATTGGAAAATAGCAAATGTAGCCTTCATTCAAGAAGAGGGGAAGGCTGAAAGCTGGATGCTATCATTAGCCTAGTGTCTGTGGTCAGGAAATTGATCATATCCATAATTAAGGAGGTTGTAGCAGGATAATTAAAAGTTCATAAATGTGATCAGGCAGAGTCGACATGGTTTTGTGAAAAGGAAATCATGTTTTACTAATTGAATATATCCCTTTCAAAAGAAAGGGGGGTCATGGAGACAGCCAAATCCTGCTGTATCCCCATGGCAATGCCCTGACCAATCAGATTCTCCTGCCTGCTCTGTGAATTAATATTGACAGTTAACTGTTCTTGCTGCATCTCCATGGCAATTATAGCCCAACCAATCAGCAAGGTCTTCTCATTTTGTTTAAAATGGTGTCTCCTTTTTTGTTCTCTTCAAGGTTTGTGTCTGAGCCCTGATGAATGTAAGATGAAGAAAAGTTCAATTTCTAGCAATGTTTAATTTCATTGAGCATTTATTGAATTAATCTATTAGCATTTCTAATGGAGTAACATCCATGGTGGATTGAGGGGAACAGATAGACGTGCTTGGATTTCCAAAAGGTGTTTGAGAACATGCTGTGTCAAAGAGTCCTGTTTAAGATAACAGCACGTGGTTGAGGAGATAATGTGATGGCATGGACAGAGGATTGGTTAGCTAGCAGGAAGCGGACAGTGAGGAGAAATGGGTCCTTTTGGGATTGGCCAGTTGTAACCAGTGGAATGCTACAGGGATCAGTGCCTGGTCATCAACTGTTTACAATCTAGGTCAATGTGTCAGGGAAGACAGAACACATGGTATCCAGGTTTGTCAATGGGACTAAGAGATGGGAATTGCCAAGATGAACTAGAGAGGCTGTGAAGGGATATAGTCAGGTTAAGTGAGTGGGTAGATGGAGAAGAATGCAGGACGTTTCCATTTTGGCGGGAAGAATAGAAAAACTGCTTAGACAAAGAGGAATTACAAGGCCCGAGGAATCAAGGTGTCCTGCTGCATAAGTCAGATGAAGTGAGAATGCAGCTATAGAGAGTAATTCGGAAGGATAATGGAATGCTGTTGATTGTGAGCAGGATGGAATATAAACGTAGAGAAGCTTCACTCCAGCTGTACATGCCCTTGGTTTGACCCTATCTGGAGGACTGTCTACTCGTGATTTGGAAAAGGATATAATTATGCACAAAGCAGTTCAGAGGAAATTCATTTGACTCATTCTTGGGGTGATTGGCTAATGAAGAAAGGGTTACAAAGGTTAGACTTAAGTTTAGGAAAATGAAATGTGGTCTTTTTGCAAAGTATAAAATCTCTAAGAAACCAGACAGGGTAGACTGTGGAGGATGTTTACTCTTGTAGGGAGCCTAAAACTAAATGACACTGTTTAAGAATAAGCATCTCTTTCAATTCAGAGACGAGGGTGGTTAGAGAGTTCTATTCCTCTGAGGGTAGTGAAGGCTGGAGTGTGTTTGATAGATTAAGGTAGAAAAGGGAGTTGGGCATCATGGGGTTGTGTCGGTGGGAGGATGATTTAAGTAAGTGGAGATGAG